CATCAAATAAATAGAATTATCTCAACTAAACAACCTATTGGTGTATCTCAAGGAACTAGATAAACGAACAAAATCTAAACTTGAACTGGGTGTGGTGCTGCACACCTGTAATCATAGCACTTGAGAGGCTGAAGCAGAAGGATCATAGCAAGTTCAAGGCTCGCCTGGGCTACAAAGTGAGTTCACTGCCAGCCTGAACTGTATAGTGAGAACCTGTCTTAAACAACAACAATGCAACTAAAAATAAATAGGAAAGAAATAATAAAGAATTGAAGTAGAAATAAATGGAATGGAAAGCAACACCACCACCCAAAGATCAATGAAATGAAAAGTTGGCTCTTTGAAAAGCTAAACAGAATAGACCCTTTTTTAGGCTAAGAAGAGAAAAAACTAACAAATAAAATAAGAAGTGAAAAAGGAGATAGTACAACTGATATAACTGAAATACAAAAGGTCACCAGAAACTTATGAACAACCATAAGCCAATCAGAATCTAGAAGGAATAGACACATTTCTAAACACACACACTTTAGCAAAACCATAAAAGCCAATAACAAGTACACAGTAAGATTGACTCAAAAATAAAAAACCTCTCATCAAAGGAAAGTTTTTCAGAGGGACCCACTGATAAACTGTATCATATGTTCAAAGAAAAATATCAACTTTGTTATTCCAAAGTACAGAGGAGGAAAGAATTATTCCAAACCCATTCCATTAGGCCAGCATTACCCTAATACTAAAACAAGAACACATGTGAGCACACACACACACACACACACACACACACACACACACACACACACAGACCAACCACTGGCCAATATTCTTGATGAACACAAATGCAAAGATCCTCAACAATATACTAGCAAACTAAATCCATCAATATTCTTGATGAACACAGATGCAAAGATCCTCAACAATATACTAGCAAACTAAATCAAACAGCTCATTTAAAAGATTACTTACCATGATCAAGTGAGATTTACCCCAAAGATACAAGGATTGTTCAGTACTGTACATACAAATCAACATGATACATCACATCAACAGAATGACAAAAACCACATGGTGATCTCAACAGATTAAGAAAAGGCATTTGGTAAGATTCAACATCCTTTTATGATAAAAATGCAGAATTTAGGAATGGAAAGAATGTACATCATCATAATAAAAGCCATTTATAATAAGTCAACAGCTAACATACTGAATGGTGAAAAGTTGAAAAGTGTTCTATGTAAGATCAAGAACAAGATAAAGATGCCCAATTTTATCACTTTTATTCAACATAGTTCTTAACATCTTAGCCAGAGCAATCAGACATAAGAAGGAAATAAAGGGCATCCAAACTGGAAAGGAAGAACTCAAATTGTAACATGATATTATATATAGGAGTTCACCAAAATCCACCAAATATTGTTAGAATAAATGAATTCATCAAAGTTGCAGGACACAAATCAAAATGCAAAAATCATCAGCATTATTGTATATCAATAGTAAATGATCTGAAATACAATGAAGACAGCAACTCCATTAACAGTTACAAATAAGAAAACATCTGAAAATAAATTTAACCAAAGAGGTGAAAGATGTCTACTATGGAAATGTTGATGAAAGAAATGGAAGATGCCCAAAAAAAGCAGGAAGACATTCTGTGTTCACAAATTGGAAGAAACATTATTAAAATGTCCATACTATCTAACTAATCCACAGATTCAATATAGAGCTAGAAAAACAATTTCTAAGGTTCATATGCAGTTACACACACACACCCAGTCAAAGCCATCTTGAGGCAAATGGAGAAAATAAAAGTATTACACTACCTGATTTCAAGACATACTACAAAGCCACAGTTATCAAACAGCATGATGTTGGCATAAAAAAAGACACCACAGATCAACAGAATAGGTCAGATAGCCCAAAAGTGGAGAACCAACTGATTTCTGTATTTCCTTTTTTTTTTTCCTGGTAGCAGAGATTGAACTCACGACTTCGTCCTTGTCAGGGAGGTGCTTATGCTGCTGAGCTAAATCCCTAACCCTGATTTCTGATAAAATGCGAAGAACACATATTGGAGAAAGGACAGTCTTTTCAATAAATGGGAAAATTGGTTATTAACATGCAGAAAAAACGAAACCATATTCTTTTCTCTCATAAGTTCCAAAAAATTAATTCAATGGACTAAATATGTAACGTAAGATTTGGAACTTTGAAGTTACTAGAAGAAAATATAGAGGAAAATGCTTCAGGGATATCTGAATGGGCAAAGGATTTTTGAAAATGACTTCCAAAATACAGGAGGAAAAAAGCAAAAATAGACAAAAATGAAATTATATTAAACTAAAAATCTTTTACCTAGCAAAGGAAACAATCAACAGAGTGAAAAAATATAAAACTGGAGAAAATATTTACAAACTGTATATGTGACAAGGGATTGATATCCAGAATACATAACAAACAAAAACTTGATTAAAATGGGGAACTGATCTAAACAGATGTTTTTCAAAACACAGAGAAACGGCTAATGGTTATCTGACAAAATGCTAAACATCACTGATCATCAAGAAGATACAAGTAACTCCAAATCACAATGAGGTATCACTTGTCTCAAGATAGAGTGTCTATTATCAAAAAAGACTAAAAGATAACAAGTACTGGTAAAGATGTAGAAAACAAGGAATGATTTCATATTGTTGGTGGGAACATGAATTAATACAATCATTGTGGGAAACCATATAGAAATTCCTCAGAAAATGAACAGAACTACCATATGACCTAGCAACCCCACTCCTAGATATATATGCAAGAGAAATGAAGTCAACATGTCTAGAGTGATCTGCATTCACATGTTCACCACAGTACTATTTACAATAGCCAAGAAAATGGAAATGTCTGCCAACTGATGAATGGGTAAAGAAAAGACGGCTTGTATACACAGTAAAATAGTAGTCAGTCATACAAATAATGAAATCCTGTCATTTGTGACAATATTGATGAAACTGAAGATCTCTATATTAAGTGAAATAAACCAGGCATGGAAATACAAGGATAGCATGATCTCACTCTTATGTGGAATCTAAAACAGGTTGATTTCAGAGAATACAATGGTGGTTATCAGAGGCAGAGGAGAGTACGAGTGGGGAAATAGGAAAAGGTTGATCAATGGGTATTGAGATACAGTTAGATAAGTGCAAAATGTTCTGGTGTGCTACTTTATGGTAGGATGACTTATATATAAACCTGTGCTGTACATTTCAAAAAGCTAAAAGCAAAGATCTAAAAGTTTTACCATAAAGCAACGTTTGATAAATGTCTGAGGAGATAAATATGTTAACCTGATCTAAACATTATTCAATATATGGTACCCCATTAATATAAAATTACTGTTTTTATGTATCAGTTAATGTTATTTAAAATATTAAATTAAAAATGAAAAACTCTAAAGATATGAGATAATGAGACATTGAATAGACTTGTAAATTTCAATAAAGACTTTTAATAAGCGTTTAGAAATAAGAGCTTTAAAAGTAGTTATCTTTCTGTTCACTGTGGGGAACAATTCCTTCATCTGGAAAACACAAACAGTACTGCCTGCCAATTATATAATCTTTATTTCTAGTTGTTAGGAAGGTAGTTGAAAATAATATCATTCACTGAAGAACAAAACAAAACAAATGTCCCAAACCCAAAGCTCCAAGTAAAAGCATCAAATATGAGGCATGCTTTCATTTTAATTCAAGTTCTACTACTTATTAGCTGTGTGACCTGAATAAGTTTCTTGATCTCTTTACCATCTGTTCCTCATGTGTAAAATGAGGGTAATAATGGTAGCTAGGGTTGTATTACATGAGATTACATTTATGATGTCTGACACACAGTTATTTCAGAAGGATGTCACTCTTAGAAAGCTACACAACTGTGGTTTCCTGAAGCTAGTCCTAATTACTGAAATCTCTGTGTGTGTGTGTGTGTGTGTGTGTGTGTGTGTGTTTTGGTACAGGACCTTGCATTTGCCAGGCAGGCCACTAAGCTATATCCCTGGCACTGTAAAACCACATTTTCCTCTTGTTGCATGTCTTCAGGTATCTTTCAACTGTCATTTTTAGTTTAATAATAGATACAACAGTAAACCAGTAAGACTGATATTACAATCTGTATATATAAAACAAGGCAGCAGTGAAGATCATGGACCTTAGAGCCAACTCATGTAAATTCAAATTATCATTTTTGTTATTATCTGTACAATCTTGAACAAGATTACTTAACCCTTCTGTGGCTCAGATTCTGCATTTACAAAATAGGAAATAGGAATGATAACCTGTAAGGTTACATAAGGTTAAAAAGATCAAATAAGGATACATATAATGTATAATATATAGATATGCACCCAGTATATGTCAAAAATACTATCCCTATTCATCATCCCTCCTTAAAAAAATCATTCTACAAAAAAAATTTATTTCTGATCACTAGAATTTAACTCTCCAGAGGGAGGATAACTGATTTTTAAAGTAGTAAGTAATGCTCATATATCCACAAACTCTCTAGTAATAATAATAAGATTCTTAAACTGGTTGAACATCTTGTCTCAGTATGATTAAAACATTTTTGTTTGTTTTGTTGTTTGCTTGTTTGTTTGAGACAAAGTCTTGTCTTTTTTTTTCCTTGGGTACTGGGAATGCAAATCAGAAACTCATGCTTGTCAAGCAGGTGCTGTGTCACTGAGCTAAATCCACAGCCTGAGATAGGGTCTTGCTACGTAGTTCAGGCTGGCCTTGAACTTAGTATGTAGCCCCGGGTAGCCTCAAACTTGTGGCAATCCTCCTGTCTCAACCTTCCAAGTGCTAGGGTCACAGGTGTGTACTATCATACCTGGTAAGGCAAGTAAATTTTGTATTAAATCTTTCTAATTGTCATAGACACAAAGTTAGAGAAGGCCAAAGCACCTTATCAAAATCCACTCTAATCTGGTTTTCTACATTTTAACGATATTTACTTCCTACCTTTCATCTGTATTGCGAAGGGATGGAAGCCGAAAGCTCGTATTTCTGTCAAGCTTTGACTGGCTTTTGGTCCTCTTGATGGAGCCTTTCAGGCGCTTGCTGAAGAATCCCTAGGAAGAAAATGTAGAAGGTGATGGGAGAGAGAACCCAGAGGGGACCTTACCCTTCTGCATTAAATTTGCAAAAAACAAAAAAACAACAACAAAAAAAGAGGGTTTAGATTTTTGTAATGAAGACCTGAAACAGAATCCGGTTTTTAATTTTTAAATTCTGTCAGTCGAAACTACTTAATAATGTGATGCTAGAATCCTTTTCTTCTGTGATAGTTAAATTTGCGTGCAGGAGGGGGGCGTTACTGGGATTCGAACTCAGGACTTTGCACTTGCCAAGCAGGTGCTGCGCTGCTGAGTTATATCCCTGGCCCCAAAACTTTTTGATAGCACTATTTTTTGATGTCTTAAAAGGGTTTTACATTAGTTATAGTAGAAAATCTTCTAGCTTTACTGATTTAATTTTTTTTTTTTTTTGTCTTTTTCCTTTTTATCGGTACCGGGGATCGAACTCACAACTGCTTGCTTCCAAGGCAGGCGCTTATGCCGCTGAGCTTATGCCGCTGAGCCCCTACTAATTTAATTTTAAAAACACAACAGAACATAGGCAAATATTATCCATTCTATGAAAATGGTATCAAGAGATTTCAACAGAATTGGTAGCCAGTGATTTCCTAAACTAAGGAAAAATAAGCAAAGAGAATAGCATGTACCAAATGACCTCAAGTCACAAGGTGGTACTCAGTGTATTGGATGAATTGAAAGATGCTGATAATGAGAACAGAAGAAGTTTTACAGTAAGAGCTCTAAAGACTTTACCAAGTAATAAAAGGTAATATGTTGGCAGTCTCAAAGTATTAACATTAGGCCCATATGGCTTTGGATATGGTATTTGTAAAGTCAGAATTCAAATGCAGATAAAAAACAGATCATCCATGACATTATTCAAACATGTAGAATTTAAAGAACAATGTGCTTTACAGTTTTGAGCTCCTTCTGATCTCCTGCCATTCCCACCAGACTAAAGTTCCTCGAGCATATTCCTAGTTTCAGTCCCTGACAAATAATGGGTACACAGCAAAGTTTACTGAATAAAATATGAGAATGAATGACAGTGGTCACTACTTTAAAGAAATTTAAAATTCAAAAATTGAATTTCAAAAATTGAATTTCAATTTTTGACAGTTGAAAGATACTGATAGAAGCAGGCAAAAGGCTGATGAGTATCATTTTATATAACCTATGTACAATAAACATTTCCTTAAGAAACAAAAGAAAATGGCTAATATCAGCACACCAAATCTTTCATATTCCTTTAGTAAATATCAAAATCCAATGTTGTTTGGTGAAGACCATGGAAAACTAGGTTAATCTCATCTACTATTCCCCAACAATTCTAGTGACATAAAACATGCTATGTGTTTACCAGTGGGCCAACCCAGAGTGGCTCTGTTCTATGCTGTTCTTATTCAGGGACTTTTAGCTAAGGGAAAGTCCCTTTCTCTACTTCTACAGTTGCCTCAGTCAGTTAAACATAACATAACTTACATATAATCATACATTGCACGATGGTGTTTCAGTCCACAAAAAAACCACATACATACGACGTAAGATAAAATGATTCTTGGCACTTGGTAATTTCACTATTTTTTTTAGGTTTAGATGCACAAATATTTACTATTGTGTTACCATTGCCTAGAGTATTCAGTATAGTAACAAGTTGTTCAAGTTTGTAGCCTTGGACCAATGGACTAAATCTCATTGTCTAGGTGTGTAGCAGGTTATAATGTCTAGGTTTCATTCAGGTACAATGATGAAACTGCCTAATGACATATATCTCAGAATGTATCCCCCATCATTGAATGACCCTTGTCAACAGTATTAGTTTTCAAAGCTACATATCACTTTTGGTCTCACTTCACTGAAAAATTATCTAATGACCACACTCAATTTCAACAGGGAAAAAACATATACTCCTACCACATAGCTACAAAGAAAACTAGAAGAGGAACAGCTGGATTGAACAGGACTTTCAATCTTATTTTTTTGAAGAATCTCCACATTGACTACATTGATTGTATCCAGTCCACACTCCTATCAACAGCACAGAAGTGTTCCTTTTTCCCTACAGCCCCACCAGCATTTATTATCAGTTGATTTCTTGATGCAGCCATTTTTTCTGGAGTGAGATGGAATCTCACTGTTGTTTTAATCTGCATTTCTCAATGCAGTGCATTTCTGTGCACTGCATTTCTCAGTGATGTTGAACATTTCTTCATGTATTTATTTTCCATTTTTATTTCTTCATCTGAGAATGCATGATCATCTTTTTTTTTTTTTTTTTTTGTACCAGGAATTGAACTCACAACCTTGTGCTTGCCAGGCAGGCACTTAGGCCACTGAGCTAAATCTCTGGTCCCAGATGCTGATTTTTGAATTGAGTCTTTGAATTTGGGGGCCTCATGTTTTTCAATTATTTGTTCCCAGAAAAATTGAAAATGTCATGCCACAGTGATATATGTGTACCCCCATTGTGCTTTATGGCAGCACAATTTGTAATAGCTAAATCTTAGAAACAACCCAAATACCTATCAACATCAGAATAGATAAAAAGATATGGATGGCATTTTTATACAATGGAGTATTAGTCAATGTTATGGTTGACACACTGTGTCCACTTGAGAAGTTTAGAGACTCAGCAGGGAGTCAAGGTTCTTACTTTATAAACATTCTCATCCTATGCAAGAGGAGAGCACAGAAATTTTGTGAGTGCTATACCTGCCCTGGGGGTGGGGTGGTTTATCTGTGTACCCTATAAAGGAGGAAAAAAAGCTTTCTCTCTCCCTCTCTTTTGCTCTGGCTGTTTTTGGTGGCTGCCTCAGTGCCATTCCACCCTGCCTTGGAGCCAGCAGATTATGGACTGAAACCTCCACAAACAGTGAGTTAAATAAACCTTTCCTTCCTTCATTTTAGACTTCAGGCATTTTGTCTCAGCAACCGAAGAAAAGTAACCAAGACACACAGCTCTAATGAAGGATAAACTGGAGGCTTTTATAAGTAAATGGAGGCAACTTAAGACCATACTCATAAGTAAAATAAATCAAACTCAAATGTATAAATATCATATTGTTTCCCTAGTGTTAAAAAAGACTAAAACAGTAATAAAATGCAAAATGTACAACAGATATTGTGATGACAAGGAAAGAAAGTGCTCAAAAGGAAAGAACAACTGGGATAGGGGAAACAAAAAAAGAAAAGATTGGTTTACGTATATGTGTATGTGTATATATATATATATATATATATATATACAAGATAGATAACTATACTATTAATCTCTGTTAGTGCATCAAAAAGAATAGTTTGTGATTTCACTGTTTGATCTATTGATCATTTTTTCATGCCTAGATGTTGTAACCTGAACGACTACATCTAAGATAGCAATATGTAATATATTAACTAGTGTTAATTTCCTATTTTTTAAAAATTCTGGGGGGCTGGGGATTTAGCTCAGCGGCATAAGCACCTGCCTTGCAAGCAGGCAGTCCTGAGTTTGATCCCTGGTACCGATAAAAAGGAAAAAGACAAAAAAAAAAAAAAAAAGAAAAAAAATTCTGTTTTCATTTTTATCCTTTTTTTGTTTTGCTTTTTAGAATAAAATAAAAAATAAAAACATAAAGAGAACTGGAAATAGTTGGCCAATAGTAGCGTGGACTAACAGCACTTTATCATGCCAAATATTTTTTAAACACTAGACACTGCTCCATTATTAGAAAAAAACGAATGTAAAATTATCTGAATCAGAAGTAAAACTATCTAGATGACTATAGAAAAATGCTTATGTTGTATTCTGTTGTTTTTGATATTTAAAGAATAAGTGTAGGGCCAGGGTGCAGTTCAGTGCCTTAGTATGCATATTGCTCTGGGGTTCAATTCCTAGAACTCCCTAAGGGTATAAAATCTCCTAGAATATATTACATAGACATATTTCCCAAAGTGATTCTGTTTTTTTTTTTTTTTATAGGTTTATAGAGACTGGAGGAAAAAGGAAAAAAAGCTATTTTAAAAAGTATCGTATTTCATAGAGACAGCCCATGTGATTGGTCTAATTTCAGTAACATTAGGGGAATTCTCCAATGCAGGGGCTTTATTTACTATTTTCTATGACTCAGTCAGAATGAGTCATCATATTTTCTCATCAGAATAGAATTCAAGTAGGATTGTTAAAGATGGTTAAAAAACATTAGCCTAAAGGGAAACTGAGTCCAGGGACCTGACTAATTATCATACATAAAATACATATCTAAGAAAAACATAGTTAAGGAGTCGACTGAAAATGTCATTATAGGTATTTACCCATCTAATAACTTCATCTTTTTATGGTATTTATTTGATTTATACTTCAGATTTTAATGCATGTATTTTATGTCTATGTATTATATGTAATTATGCCAGGAGTTACAAAGGACTCAAAGATAAGACAGACACAAATTCTGTCCTATAATTTAACATAGGAACTTATATATATTTGTGGATTGGCCAAGGTTGAGGAAACAATCTCTGATCACAAGGATGTATCAATAGCAAAATGAAATCATTTCAAAAAATGAATACGCAAAAGAGAATAGAACATCCAAGGACTAGGGCACAACTATAAAAGCAAGGTGCAACACATACCTAATGGGAATACCAGAAGGAAAAGAAAAGAACAGAAGAAATATCTTCTGATTGGACTTTCCCCCAAATTAATGTCAGCAAACCACAGATCCAAAGAGTGCCAAACTGTATAAATGCCTAAACAAACAAACAACCACTATACCTAGGCATATGTCAAAGTACAGAAAAATCAAAGGTTAAAAAATATTCTGAAAGAAGTTATAGACTAGGAGAAACCACTTTATGAACAGAGGAACAAAGAGAAGAATTATATCTGATTTTGTAGAAACTTTGGAAATAAGAGTGAAGTAAAATATTTTAAATGTAGAGAATAAAAAACCAAAAATCAAAAACACCACCCTATGATTCTGTAGCTGTAAAAATCGCTCCTCAAAAGTGAAGAA